CTGGGGGTGCCTGAGTGGCTCAGTTAGTTAAGTGTCAGATTCTTGATTTCTGCTCAAGTCATTATCTCATGGATTGTGAGTTCGAGCTCTGCGTCGGGCTTTGTGCTAACAGCACAGAGCCTGCTTGGGATTCTCTTTCCCTCTCTCTCTGCCCCTCCCCGGCTCACCTGCTCTCATGCATGCTCTCACTCTCCTATTCTTAAAAATAAATAAATAAACATTTAAAAAAATAATAAAATAAAAACCCAAATCTGCTCATTTCACCATCACTAACACCCAAATGGCTTCCCGCTGCCTTTTAAATATAAAGGCAGATGTGATACAGAACTCCTGGGGAGGCCAGGACAGCTGACCAGGGATACTTTGCTTTTAATTAACCTATTGTGTCCTTGCTGTAACAGTATTTTTTGTAATGACTAATAACCTTATTTTCCTTTCTATGATAAGGAGACTGGGTCACCTTGATTCCCAGTAACCAAAAAACTACAACCTCCCAGTTCAGGAAGGGATAACTAGCCTTTCGAATAGAAACTTCAAATATCCATGAACTGAGATATTTACTTCTTAAATTTCCTGTAAGGAACACCCTGAGCCAGATGGAACCTTGAAGATGAATTAGCCTAGAGCAGGGGTTGGCCAACAACGGCCTGAGGGCCAAATCAGGCCTGCCACCTGTTTTCATAAATATTTACTGGAACACAGTCACACTCACCCGTTTGTGTCCTGACTATGCTGTCTGCACTCCAATGGCAGAGTCAAATGCTTGTGACAGAGACTGCATGGCTTGCACAGCTTAAAGTACCTGGCCGTTAACAGAAAAGTTTTGCTGACTATGCTCCAAAGGTTGGGCTGCACGTGAAAGTCACCTGGAGTGCTTTTTAAAAGGGCTCACATCAGAGGTTCTGATTAAACTGATTTGAGGTGGAATCTAAGCACTAATATTAAAAACTTAGAAACAAAAAATTTCCCTCAGTGACTCTAATATGCAGCCACAGTTGAGAATCACTGATTTGATCTAGTCTCCTGTCTCATAGATGAGGAGTCAAGCCTATAGGCCAGGATTTGTCTCCTGTTTGTGATGAGTAACAACTACTAATATCTACAAAGCCCTATACAGCACATCCCTCTATATTATCTCACTTGACTCTTTTTTTTTTTTAATATTTATTTATTTTTGAGAGAGAGAGAGAGAAAGAGAGAGAGAGAGAAAGAGAGCAGGGGAGGGGCAGAAAGAGAGGGAGACACAGAATCCAAAGCAGGCTCCAGACTCTGAGCTGTCAGCACAGAGTCCAATGCATGGCTTGAACCCACAGACTGTGAGATCATGACCTGAGCCGAAGTCAGATGCTTAACTGACTGCGCCACCCAGGCACCCCTCTCATTTGATTCTTAGGACAAATCTGAGGTTCAAAGAGCAGGAAGCACTTCTGTCCCTGCTTCACACATAACAGAACTGAGGCTCAGGAGATTTAAGTCATGTCCCCCTAAGTCTCCTATTTAGTAGAGGGAGCTAAGACTCACGTGCATGTCTTCTGAATTACCGATGCTCATTGTACAAGTTACGTATTTATGACTTATTTTGGCATATGGAGTCCTATTTGCTGTCAGGGTCTCCAGAGCATTTAGAAACCTACCTTCCTAAACAGACTATGCTCTGCAGAGCCCCTAGGATTCGTCATGGTCACTGTCAGGGTAGAGTAAGAGGGTAAGGATGCAGGTCAGGGGAGAGGATGCATGTAGGCGTATATCTATAGATCCCATCTCCGTGCCCTCACTTAAACCAGAGCAGGTGTATTTTTACCTGTTCAAGCATTAGGATCCCACATACAATTGTATGAATAAAGAGTTCCACCTTTGAAGACCACTGACATGGCTCGGACCTTTGCTTACCGTTTCAATCCAAGATAGCAAGGTCACTCTGCCCCCAAATTCCTGTCACTTCTTACATCAAGTTCTTCCCTGTTGGTCTTAACGAAGTCCAAAAGAATAGTTTCTCATAATATCAATATAGGTACTGTTTTTTAAGAAATGAAAGGCATTACTTTCAGCAGACCAGACTTCCCACATCTGACAGGGTAACTGACGTTTCTTGTTACTGCTCCCTGCCTCACTCACACATATCATATAATGCAAAATATATAATATATACTGTATAAAAAAAGGAAAATATCACCCTCATCCACTCTCTTGCTCGGTCACAGTGTTTCTCCTGACTACTCACTGGGTCTGCTTCCAGCCTAATCCACCAACTCTCCACCTTGCTTCCACTCTGAGGCTTTTCCTTCCTGTGGAAGTGAGGCATTCGTTAATGTCGGGG